ATTGATATTTTTCAGATCTATTTTCTTTATAATGATTCGTGCTTTTTGGTTCGCTTCCAAAAATTCCAAAGCAAAATAAAAGCAAACCAACGAAAGAAATAATTTGATTTGATGTTGAGTGGCATCTGAAGATGGAATTCCTAGCTGATGCCGAGCATTGTTATATCTTGCGCAGTAATTGGAGCTCGGAAACAAGGGGCGAGTGACACGTGTGTTGGCCGTGCTGGCCGGACGGAGGTCGGCGAACCGATCCATCTTGATCTCGCCCGTGGTCACCTCGCCGCGGCTGTTATTAAGTTTATTTAGTGCTGCTTCTGTTATTAAGAAGAAAACCCGAGGGAAATGCGCTGTGCCTCTCGGGCTTCTTTCATTTTTCTCGTTTCGCCACACCCGTTTAAATGCGCGGTGGTCTCGCGAGAACTTGAATTCAGCAGTTGATTCAATTTACCTGTCCCATCAATTATATCCCCGCGCAGTGAAAATACATATAAAAGTAAGTGGTTTCGAACCAAGTTCGCAGGTGGCTCTTTGCTTTTTTTTTTTATTTAAATAAGAAATTTCCTTCCTCTGCAAGGAAAATAATAACAAAATCATCTTTCATTTTTTAATTTACTCGCCCGTGGGGAGACAAATTTTTTAGAGATTTCCATCGGTTGGAGGAAAAATTAAAATTCAAGCCGGCAGCCCGAAGAGAGAAGATATAAATCCGAGTGCCGAAATTACAACGCTGGAAATTTTTAATGCTTTTTATGATGTTTGTTTACATAATGTCTTTGGTTGGGCCGCGCGCGCGATCCTCACACAGGCAATAGAATATTCATCGGCATGCCGTGCTTGCGCGCGGTAAGTGAATAATAATGAGAATACACAAAGCAGACGGGACAATAGGATAGTTCAAGTTTCTGCCAGTATTCCAGGCATGCGTTGGCCTGCGGAGAGAGAGAGGAAGGATTCGGATGATGAGCCCACGTGCTTGCCTATACGAATACGGAGAGAGAGAGGACGAGCGTCGAGAGCGGCCAAATTTAATTAACACATCGCGCTGCTCAACGGACCTGGTGCCACGGGATACACACCCATGAATATCAAACAAAGTACTCATGTCTTGTGTGAAAGGAAAGCACGAGACTTTGCGGAATCGTTAAATTTTAATTAACAACGTCAGACGTAAGAAGTGTGCACAAATAATTTGTGATTTGTAGCTAAATTTTGCATAATTTCCAAAATCAGCAAGTTTGTTAAGATAGAAGTTTATTCCAATTTTTATTTATTTATGTGGAAAGTTTGAAGCGTCTAGAAGTTTATGATTAATGTAAATTTTTTGGTCTCATCCTTGACGTAAATAATATTTGGCTCTTTTAAACTTCTTGACAAGAAATTGTATAAATAAATTACCCTTCAGAATGGAGCACTCACGAGACATTCCGCAAAGTAGACTAATAAATAAAGCAGCAAAAAATTAGATAAATTTCGCTTTGCTTAAAGTGGTGATATCGCGTGTGCGTCTTACAAGAAAAATCATTCCTTTTCCGCGCGCCATAAAAAGGAAAGACAAGTCCATTTTTCCAGCTGATATACTTTTATAGTTTTGCGTTATTTCTGCAGCCGAGCAATGTTGACAGCGTTTTATATGCTTGACGCACTGAAAGGGACAAATAAACGATATGACGCGATCTCGGCTGTCGAAAACAATTTTGCCTCGTTTTCTTTTATAATTCACTGACCCATTTAACTCGCACCTATGCCGATGAAAAGCACTTTTCGAATAATTCATCAACTGATTAAGCGGATTTCTCTTTCAATTAAACTCAAAAGTGGTGGGTTGTGATCATGACGTGCTCATTATTAACAAAGTGACGCGTCCACTCCATTCGAGGGCTCTGCCGATGCATATTTCATGCCTGAGCTTTAATTGCTCTCGGTGCAGCGTAAAAAGGATTTAATTATCGGCTGTCAACTTTCACCGCTCTTTCAAAAGGAAAACATTCGAGGATTTCCATCATTTGGCAACGAAAAGCAAGTTGAACGTTGCATGAAATTTTGGTGGAAAATTATGACAAGGGAAAATTGTGTCGCTCGGGCGAGTGTAAATTTATATGAGTTTGTTGCTGGCAGGGACAAAGCGATGATTCGTTTTTATTGCCGCGCGCACCTCCCACTGATACGGCCACACTTCCATAAAACCACTTCTTTACTCTTGTTCCTTTATGCAGACCGCAGAGGGATAAAAAGCAGCGCTTCTCTCGCTCTCGTGGATGCAAATTCTGAGATTAATCTCTGTGCGCTCCCATTATGCAAGAGCGACTCACTTTGTCCGCAATTGTTTTTGTTTGCACCGGCCGAGAGTGAAATACAATGAGACGTACGGAAAATATGTCTGCAGTAAAATGCAGTGAAATCTCCTGCTGCATACAAAGTTTCCATTTCCATGCATGTGTGGGCATCGCGAACTCTTATTATCGCACTCCATACTTGATGCCTTAGCCAGATTTAAAGGAAACAAAATTTATTTTGAATTCCTCTATTTTTGATGGAGTTCAATAAAACCTACTCAATTGGACAGAAATATGTTAAAAATGCCTCATTTTCTAATTTTAAATTATTAATATTTTTTAAACAACTTAATTGTTAAAGGAAAATTAAAATTAGTAAACTTGAAAACTGAAAGACATCTTTTGGCTACTTTATTTTTTTTAAGTCAGATTTTCTATTTTCAAGGGGCATGAAACTTAGTAATTGACTTTTTGTCAGGGTCAGTGACCTACAAAATTGGTGACCATTAAGAAAGATACCTTTTGGTTTATTAGCTTTAACCTCCCTGAAAGAAAATTGAAAAATCCTTAACTAGAATAAATTTGGCAGCAGTTTTGGCAAACCTTAATTTTTTTCCCGGCGGCCATTTTGGAATTTGAAAAATATAATCAAATTTCTGATTAATTGGGTATTTTATGAACCAATATATAAATGATAATGATGCAGAAATCAATTAAAGTCATACGCATTATTTTATATTAATTATTTTTCTTTTAAAAAAGAAAATAAATTGGTAGTTTAATTAAAAAGAGTATTTTTTTTTATCACTTTCATTTCAAAAACTGGAACAAAAAGGTTGGGAAAAAAATAGAGATCAAAGGTCTTTAGATCGGAGTTTTTCCCCCGTTTTTATTGAAACGTGATTCGTCCGAAAAGAGCTTTTTGTCAAAGAGCTTTGCCTAAATCTGATGCCTGGCTCGTCTCTTTTTACTTGCAACTCTCGGCGTTTTTGCGCAAATCCCAAAAGCGATGAGTTTATTGCTTGAATTTATATACGCCGCTCACGGAAAGTGTAATTTAATATTTTAAACTCGTCCGTCATCCACGTTGCAGGCAGACAATCAAAAAGTTTGCTCGCTTTTATCACTGCTCGGGGAACAAACTTTGAATGTGAATGAAACTTGTGTACAAAAACTTATTTATTTATTCTTTGGCGCTGAATGTGTATTTACAGCGATTCGCATCCTCTGTCAATACAGAAAGGAGCGTAATTGCGCTAGAGAGACATAAAACTTTAGTGCGCGCGGGGCGAGCGAGTGACACCATTAGGCGGAATTATTTTCAGCGCATTCGCTATCAAACTCGTAAACGTGTATTGCCCAAATTTACACATGACATTACGCTGCTCTTTGCTATCGCGCGCCTCCCGCCGGCTGAAGAAACGCCCGTTTTTAGCGAGGCAGGCTCGAGACCTAATGGCATTGTTATCACTCTTCGATTTTCCTCCATCCTGAAGCAAATGATATGCCAAACAACGCCGCCACAGAGATACTCTCGCTTTTTGCTCCCGAGCAACTTTCCGCGAACTCTTCGATCGCAAACCAATTCACAAAAATGGCGGTTTCGAGCCGTAAATAAACTCTTCACAGTCGAGTGCTGCAAAATCAATACTTGAAGTTTCACAAATTATATTTGTTGCTGCAATATTGAATAATTTTGTTTCATTTTGATAAAAGAGGAAAATTTTCGTTATTTTTACTTATTTTTCCCACATTTTGAAATATTATTTAATAATTTTCAAAGCCACAAGAATTTTGTTTAATATTGAACAGCATTCGTGGTTTCCATGCCGTGCATAACAATATTGCACATTTTTAATTCAGCTCCTGATGTTGTAAAATTGCTCATTAATATGCATGGAGTGAGTCAGCAGCTGCATAATCATTCCCTCTGTGTGTGTGATTAAGGTGCATATCAGGGAGGAGAATTATGCGCGGGGTCAGCCGAGCGAAATATCTTAATCGAAAAATTGCCTGTTTCAAGTGCGATATCGGACCGAATTGCCTCCAGGCACGCCATGTTGTGCATGCCGAGCTCATCTGGTGGACGCGACCCCGCCCAAAAACTGCGCCCTCGGGTCCTCGAATTTAGTCATTTTGCATAATTCATTGGCGGAAATTACGCCGAAATGAATAATTTACCAAAAATGTATAAAAATTCTGCTCTTTTTTCGTCCGTCACTTTTTTCCCGTGTGAAATTTCACCAGACATTTTTCGACGCATAACGAGGCTCGTTTTCTGAATCTATTTTCCACCACCGGAGCACCCTTGGCGCGGCTGACAAAGCTTCCTGGCATCGTTACAGTCGAAATGAAACCAGAGAGATTCGTCAGCCCAGCAGGACGCACAATGCATATTTGAGGCCAAAAATGGAAAAGCAGGACACAAAATTCTGCGGTCACGGTTTGATTAGGAGCGAAAATAGCCGCTGCGGGGGTTGGAAATTTCAAATGAATAATTTGTTTAACGAGACGCGCCAATTTTATTTCACGTGACTGCGAATGAAATATTTTCGGCAGCGATACAAAAACTCGTCAAAGTCCGTCAGATTTGCGGACCAAAAAATTAATGACAAAATTTGCTGGCGAAAAAGTTTGCCTTTTAAATTAACTGTCAAACCCAAATGTTGACATATCCGAGTCTGGCAAAATTTTAGCAACTAATTTTTTGTAATTTGTGTGTTTCAGAGAATCGAGTGGCCGGCGAACGCAGCCCACCGAGAGTTGTGCTCACTCAAGGGCAAGTCTGAGGTAAGTTCTGCACTTCTTCTTATTACTCGCACGCAAATATATGCCCATCATTATCGTGCAAAAGGAAAATGGCTTCGGGTTAGACAGGCAAAGTTTTCTCTGTGAAAAACGTGGAAACTTTTAACTAGACTGGCTATAAAATGTATAAAAGTTGCCCTTAAAAATATGTGAAAACTGTTTACATTTTATAATCATCCTTTTCAGTTCAAATCTTTCCTTTTTTCCTGCGCATAATTTAAATTTAAAAGTGGGCGAACATTTCTTTCTTTGATCGTGCTCATTGTTCATCGTTCGGAAAGCAATAAACTTGATATTCTTCTGGCACGTCCCCGTCATTTATTTCATTCTTCCTTCTCGACCCATCCCTCGGCGAAATTGCGCATTGCCGCAATTACGTTCATTTTTATTCCGTCTCACTGCAGTTTGTCTGCAGCACCGCGATTGTCGGCCCTAATTGGCGAATTAGCGAGCGCGCATATCAGCACAATTGTGTCAACAAACGTGCTGCATTAATTTCTGCGCCGACACCCTTTTGCCGTTGACGCGAGACGGAGAAGAAGCTGCTCACCTGCTTAATTACAGTTTTGCAATCGGATTATAATATGTGTTTGTTATTGTACACATGAATTGTTTGTTGCATTGTTTGTGTAGTTGGAAGCCGACATTGATCAACCCTGCGCGCTTTGAATATGCACAGTGCATTGTGTATAATTACATTTTGCGCAAAACCCGCCGAGTTGTTTGCTAAAAGCTTTGACAATAAGAACGTTTGCAACAAATAATGTGATCCTGTTCATTGATTACAAATTAATTTTAATAGAAAATAGAGAAATAATTTAAATGAAAACTTTTACATGCTGAAATTTATATTTTTCTTAAAAACCTAGTTGAATTTGCTCAATATCTCAATTTTGCCCAATCAGTCAAATTGACGAGACCATCAGATTAACTATCGCAGTGACTGACACCAATAATTGATGAAAGGCATCAAATACACTCCGCTGCCTTTGGTAGATTAAATAATTTGCGAATGTGCTAAATTTGGAAGTGATTTATCAGGAGCATCACTTTCAGGAATCTTGTCAATTGTTAAAGTATTATCGCAGTAGTGAGGCTGAACCTCTTTTTTACATCTGGTCTGACGTCATACATGGGTAAATGGGCAAAGGTATTTTTGCAAAATGACAGGTTGAGCAGAGAAATAAATGTAATTTTTTTGCGAAAAGTTGTAACGAACCTTTTGCCCATTTTACTGTGTCTGGCGCGGGCCAAATGAGAAAAGGGCTTCAATTGGCATTACCTCTCTCTACTGTTGCTTCTGGTTATAATTTCCTGTGCGAGAGAATCCATCTGGGGCCAACTTCAATTAAAACTCCCCAGGCTGATCACACGTGCCAATGCTAATTGCGTTCTAATCGCTGCTTCCGAACTCGATTCAGCCGAATCGGCAATGGCTGCAGTCGCTGCACCTTTTCTGGTGCCATTTCGCGGGAAATGAATTAAGTTGTTGAGCGCCGAGTTGCATGCCGTCGAGCAATCCAATCGAAATCCAATCTGAATGCGAGCGAATAATGATTTCTTGTAATAACACACCGCGCGTCCGATTCCTTGATGACGCGGGAAATGTGTCGTGATTGTGGCCGATGCTTCACCCCTGGCTCGGTGACAGGTCATGCGATACCCCCGATAAATTTGCATTCTGCCAACGTATCTGTTTATTTATTTACGTACACGAGTTGCCAAAGTAATCTTTGAATGTGTAACAAACTCTTTTGCTTATTCATGAGAGCGAAAACTTTTTTCCACCCGAAAGTTTATTTATTATTCAAACACGGTGCGTGCGGAGAAAATCGAAGGGAAGCATTTTGATCAGTCGGCGAGTTTTAATTAAAATCGCTTCCCTTCTTTTTCTCTCTCTCTCTCTTTCTCCCTGGGAAATCTAATTCAATTTGCTGATGATGATATAATTAATAAAACGCGGTTTGCAATTCTCGAGTGTAAAGGCGGCGGAATTGAACGCGCGTAACTCGATTTGAATAATATCTCTCGCCGCCGCCGCGAGTGATTTTATTACAATTTTTTTTCGCTCTCCTTGTAAGCCTTAATTAGAGAAGAAGCTCGGTTTGTATCCTGCGATGGTGCTTTTCTCCGCGATTAAGGGGAGGATGAAAAGCGCAGTCTTCCTTTCTTTCCAGTCTGGGATAAAAAAAAAAGAAGCTAAGCCGTATATATATAATATCATATGACGACTGCTGCGATGAAGAGGAATTGTGTTGGCGGATTAAGAAGGAAATCAAAAAGAATGGGAACGTTGCATCCCTCTCGTTTCGCCAACAATGAGTTGCAGTCTTTTCTTCTTCCATGCATTTTGTCCTTTTTGTCCTTCTCTCTTAAATCAATACTCGGCTGCTGCGTCCAATAAAACAAGATTTATTTTCACGGATTTTGCGGCCTCTCCGCACGCTGATAAGCGGGGCTTTTGGAAAAGGACTCCGGCCGCCGGAATTATGGAAGGCGAGCCACGAATGGACGTTTATTTATCGATTGTTACTTTTTCCTTTCCTTGCACGCCATTTAACGCCACATAACTCAACGCGCATCTCCTACTTTTTTCCTCTTCTTTCCCACCGGCAGTATTTTCCGCCGCTGGAAGCGAAATTCATTCATTTTTCTTCCTCCCTCGAGTTTGTTTTCCGTTGCGCTTCAATATCCGGCGGCGCAAAGTTGCCTGTTGCTCGCATTTTCCAATCTCATTATAGGGCAAACAATGACTTTCGACAATGCGGCCAGGAAATCTGACCTTAAGCCATATTGGAAGGGATCATTCTATAGTGTCTGTTTTCTAATTGTGTGTAATGGTTTGCTTTCAGGACGACTGCCAGAATTATATCAGGATTTTGGCGAAAATCGATGAGCGGCGGCTGCTCATCTGCGGCACCAACGCCTACAAACCCCTTTGCAGAAACTACAGACTCCAGGTTTGCATTCATTTTAATTTCATTTCGTTTAATTCATGCTCAATAATGCTCACAATTTTACTATTTTTAAATTGGGGAAAAAACAGCCTGATTAATTTTAATTGTTGTTTTTGCACTTTAAATTGTTTCTTATGGACATTTTCTAAAATAATTTTTTTTCTTTTACCTTGGATCGATTAAAATTGATAAAAATTTCACCAAATCCCGTTCAAACCACCCGAATTAAGATGCAAAAATGAAAATTAATAAAAAGTTCATTTTGATATAATGAGCAAAGGTCTGAAGTACTTTTGTTGAAGAACTAAAATTTCAATAATTCTATTTAAATAAAAAATGCTTCTTATAAGTGAATTATTAAGATAAGTATACGCGAGGCGGTTTCGATTTTCTCCATATCATTATTTGCATCGATTCTTTTTCTTTTCTTCTCCCAAACGGATTTTTTTCCTTCTTTTTTCCTCTGCTGCGTCGCCACCTTAATATGCAGGGCTTTTGTGTCCGCGCGCGCGGCATATCTGCAAACACGCCCCGGGCTTTGGCGAAAATTCAATCCGGTGCTCGTTATTAAAAATAAATTATAGCCGCCGCCGCGAAATGCGCGCAGGAGACGACGTGAAAAATTGCTCGGGGCAGACAAAAAATGTATAAACCGAGGCGCGCGGCGGCAAAAAAGTGCATTCTGCTGATCTCATCCATTAATACCAGCGCCGCTTTGATGAGGCGAAAAAAAATGCATAATCATATTCAAATGTGCTGTCACAAACACAAAAGAGCAGAAAACCGAAAGCTGACTCATCAGCTCTTGAAATTTCTTTATTCCGCCGGTTTCATCGATTCCCAAAGTGTCTGATCGGCTTCTTTATTTTGCGCTCGGATCGAGCAAAAGGAGTGGCTCGTAAAAAGTGGTCAGTCGGGACGCTGACCCCGCGCCATCATCACAGACATGCTGCTCAAATAAATTTTATTGCTTTTTTGGTCAGGTGCTTTTAACTTTTTCATCCTCAACTTGCTTTCAATATATGAAAAGAAATAAAATTCGCTGCCGTATTTGCAACGCAGATTTATTTATGGGGCGAATGAAAGGAAAAGTTTCTTCTCGCGAAATTCGGAACCCTTTCTTTATTCGGCGCCGAAAGAAAAGAATGAAGCAATCTTTTGTACTGCCGGATATTCTTTCGCTCGCCAACTTCTTCAATATCAGCAGATCCAGAGAAAAACGGCGCAGAACTGCTGACCGGCAATGCGACCCCTTTTCTTACCTCGTTGGACATTTATTTATTGGCGAAAAAGAATATCCAGGGCGAAACAGGCTCGATATTATTAAACTTTGGGAAAAGTTCGATTCGGCAAACTTGGCACTTTTCGAGTTTAAATGAAATTTTGACGCATTCAGTGAGCGCCGTGCATGGAAATTATAACACTGTGGCATTATTTGATGATGACTTTGTTGCAGGATGGAGATTACGTTGTGGAGAAAGAGTACGACGGAAAGGGTTTGTGCCCTTTCGACCCCGACCACAACAGCACAGGCGTGTACTCTGGTGAGTTTTCAAATTTCGTCCGGCCTCTGATTTTGTACTTGTCACGATTTGCGGTGCCGATATGGAAATTAACACTCACGGCGCACGCCAACCGCTGACGCTGTTCCCACTTTCGACCTCATGACCCAAAATCTATAATCGTTCCTGAAATTTAAAAAAAAAGTTACCTAAAAATTAATATTTAACTTCTTTATTTTTATTTGAATCAAATTTAAAATTGACCTATTATAGCCTCAAATTTCTCTTCATAGTTTAATTTAAATGATTAATTTTATTAATTAAATAGAAATAGTGTATACAAATGGGCTTGGTTTATTTAAATTCGTAAAATGTTTAATAATTGAATTTAAATTGATTTAAATATTCAAAGCATAGCAAATTATCAAATTAAAATTTTTAGAGACTTGTATTCAATTAAATAATTGTTGAAATATTCCTCAAATAATATTATTTCAATGCGAAAACTACAACAAATTATCCATAATGGATGCAAATGCAGTTCTTTTATTTACAAATAATGACGCAATCACGTCGTCTGCACGAACAGGTCGACGCCTAGATAATTTGCATTTGTCGGGGCACATGAAAATAAAATAGGGACAGTCGGAGGAAAAAATAACTTCCTGCCGCTGTCATTCGCCTCCTTCCGTGACCTCTCAAACTGAGTCACTAATTCAGCCACGCAAGCTGACCCTGCGATCTCGGCATAATTTGAATCACGCATCCAAATAAATTCTTACTCCGACTAAACTGGCGCAATTTTCCACTCATTTCCAACACGCTAAGGAAAGTAAAAGTTTTAAAAATAATCCATTTCAGTCTGACCTCGTTTTAATTTAATTCAAAATAAGTCAAATTTTAATCAATTTTTTTGGAGGCGTGAAAAATCCGAAATTGGAGTACCTGGGATGACTCACTCACTCGATTGCACTTAGCTTTTGTAATCTTTTTCCTCTTTGATCTCGCACGCATTCAAAGAGGGCCGTGACTCTCACAATTTGCCGTCGAAAAGCTGATTTTGTTGAAAGCTTTTCTGAATTAAATTCAAATTAAAGTGTGTAGGCGAAGCTAAATCGATATCACAAAGGCGGGTAGAAAAAAGTGCGTTGCCTCCAAATCTGGGCTTGTCAGCGCGTTGCCGAGAGACAAAGACAAATTTTGTGGGTTTTTACTTTAACACGTCATTTACTTTTTGCCCTATCTCGAGAACCACGATCAAGTTTTGTTTGGAAAAGGGTCCGCAGAGGCTCTCATCATCTTTTTTTATCTGGCGGCGTCCAGAAGGAGCTTTATTAGTTTCGCTTTTTTCTTCTCTCCGATGAATTCATCCCAGATTTTTTCCCACTCTTGACGAAAAGATGCTCCGCTCTTTAATTAAAAATTAAATTCAAGAGAAAATGAGAGATCGATGCGATGGAAGGGATTATGTAAAAATTATTCCAAATTCCTTTTTCGCGTGCTCAAGGCGTTCCCCGGCCCCGCCAATCCATCATTGCCTAAAATAGGTCAAATTTTTTTGATATCAAATGTCTTTGTTGAATTTGGCAAAAGAAGTCCCCATAAATCTTAGTATGCGCGGCAACACAGCCTGCGTGGGCGCTTTGTTCTAATTTTTCAACACGTATTCAATCTACTTGTTTTTTCGTCAAAATACGAGGAACACCACCCAGAATAAATAACCGAAAGTGTCATCAGGTTAGTTAGTCTGGACTATGGCGTGTGTAATTCCAACGCCACGCCCTGAATTTAAATAGATTATCAATCATTTACGCGGTCGCGACCGAGCCGAGCGCAGTTCCTGCTCAAGCTTTGTTCGCCAGCTGAATTCATCATCAAACTGCTCAAAAGAAACTAATTCTAAACTCACTCACAGTATTAAAACGGCGTTCAAATGAAAGAAAACTATTTTATTTGTTTGATAAAATATAATAAACTTATTTTATAATAATCTATATATGCAAAGTTCCTTTTCAATTTCAATTTTATAATTGAAAATTTAAAAATTAACAATAGATTCCGAATTTTCCTTGATTTTGATTATTTTGTGACTTGTGAATATAAATAATTGTAAATGTTGTCTCATAATTCAATAGTGAAATTTAATTTCAAAATCAGGCAATTCTCCAAACCTAACAAGCTATTTTTGCAAACGAACGAGCAGGTCAGTTGAAAACAATGCCCCTCTCTTTGGCGAATTTGGCCTGCAACTCGCTAATCATTGATCTATTCCTGGCCCATTGTTTAACAAAGCCAGTTTTCGCTTGGACTGACACGAGTGTTTGTTTGTTTTGCAGACGGACAGCTGTACACGGCCACTGTTGCAGACTTTTCGGGCACCGACCCGATGATTTATCGCAAAACTTTGCGAACCGAAAGATCCGACCTGAAGCATTTGAATGGTGAGTTTTTTTTTATTGATGGATTTTCCTTCTTTATTCATGAATCTCTTTCATTATTGCAGCTCCAAACTTTGTGAATTCGTTCTCGTACAAAGACTACGTGTTTTTCTTCTTCCGGGAAACCGCCGTGGAATACATCAACTGCGGCAAGGTGAGTAGTGAGCGGATTATTTGCATTGCAGATTTCGCGCAGAGGGATACGAATTTCCACAAGTGTTTTTTTTCCAAATTCATTAGCAGTCTTTGTGATGAACAAGTTGTGACCGAGAGTTTGCTTTGCAGGCCGTGTTTTCTCGAGTGGCCCGCGTGTGCAAACACGACAAAGGCGGTCCGCACCAGTTCGGAGACAGGTGGACGTCGTTCCTCAAGTCCCGTCTCAACTGTTCCGTCCCAGGGGACTACCCCTTTTACTTCGATGAGATTCGTAAGTTGACTCGAAAAATTGTTGCTTTCCAAAAAGAAGCTCGTAAATTATTCATTAACGTAAAAGGAAAGGTCAAATTTATTCACCAACATCAAAATTGCAATTTATTTAAGGGTTGAAATCAAGTTTGGCGTTATCGCGCCAAAAATACTTGAATTTTTGTGGGGAATCTCTAATAATTTGGGCTATTTAGTGATTTTTTAAATAAACAATTCAAATTTGTATGGCGGGAAAATTTAAACTTTTGATTAACCCCTGGTTCAAAGGGGTGAGAAATTTTCAGTTTTTATTTTGGCGTTGGTCATTAAATTTGTTCTTAATCTTATTCTGGAATAAAAAAGTATTTGCCAGTTTCGCACTTTAAACTTTAGGATGAATTAATTGATAAATTTATTCGCAGAGTCGACGAGTGAGATCGTCGACGGGCAGTACGGCGGCGTCGGCGACCAGTTGGTGTACGGGGTGTTCAGCACCCCCGTCAACTCGATCAGCGGCTCGGCCGTGTGCGCGTTCAGCATGAACGACGTGATGCGCTCGTTCGACGGCCAGTTCAAGGAGCAGGAGACGATGAACGCCAACTGGCTCGCCGTGCCTGGCAACAAGGTGCCCGAGCCGCGACCCGGCGAGTGCGTCAACGACTCGCGCACCCTCCCGGACGTCACCGTCAACTTCGTCAAGAACCACGCGCTGATGGACAAGCCTGTGCCTTCCTTCTTCGGACAACCAATTGTTATCCGCATTAGCATGCAGTAAGACTATAAATCCAAAATTTGACCAATTTTTTCAGTAAATTGAAAATAAAATAAAATTTTTTGCTCTGACAATGAGAATTGAATTGTGATTGTAATTTTTAGGTACCGCTTCACGAAAATCGCCGTGGACTCGCAAGTGGCGACGGCCGACGGCAAGAAGTACGACGTCATCTTCATCGGGACGGACAACGGCAAGGTGATCAAGACGCTGAACGCGGCGTCGTTCGACTCGCGCTCGGACGTGAGTCCGGTGGTGATCGAGGAGATCCAGGTGCTTCCCAACAACATCGCCGTCAAGAACCTGTACGTGGTGCGCATGGCGGGCGCGCTGGACAAGTCCAAGCTGGTGGTCGTGTCCGACGACGAGATCCAGGCCGTCAAGCTGCACCGGTGCGGCAGCGACAAGATCACCTCGTGCAGGGAGTGCGTCGCCCTGCAGGACCCGTACTGCGCCTGGAGCGTCCAGCAGAAGCGCTGCGTCGCCGGCGGCGGCGCCGACGCCTGGAGCGCCGCCGGCGGACGCTTCCTCCAAAACATATCCTCCGGAGAACACGCTGCGTGCGGGGCCGAAGGTACGCCTAGTCGCAATCGTCTGCTAATTTTGCTTTTCGTGCTGGCTGATTTTGATTTGCTTTAAATCAAGTTTACTGCAAGTTGAACAAATTTTAAAGAAAAGTGATCACATTTTTGGTAAAAATATTCTTAAAATATTTGGAAAACTCAAATTGTACGTAAGTTCAGGAATCAAGAGCATTTCTTTGCATCATGTTACCTGGAAAAAATTCATGCTAGGCTGAAATTTGGGATACATTTTCTGAGACACCCTTTCTAGAAGAAAAGTACCTTTGTATTTTTATTTTTTGATGTAATTGTTATGTTTCTTGTACAAACATGAGACTTACACTAACGTAAACAATAGGAAATTTAATTAGCAATCAAAACCTTACTGAATTTGCTGCGGCAAAAGTAATGAATGCTGGAAAGGTTGAAAATGAGGTTTTTTGCACTATTTTATATAAAACCTCATTTTTTAACATATCCGAACATTTCCGCTCTTATAGCTCTTGTCGCTTTGGATTTAGAAGAAAATGATAAATACAAAAACTGTGCAAAATTAAATTTTCTACAAGTTTTGTATGAAACATTTTTCTCTAAATGTTTTCCAGAAGAGCTAGAGTTAAAAAGCAATAAGAAAATGCCAAAAAAATTTACCTTTGTTCAAATAATTGAAATTTCTATTTCTATTTCAAGAAAACGTGATAAGGTTTTAAAGCTGATTAAAATTTCTTATCGATTGGTGTTTGTGGAAGAAACAGGACAATTACTACAAAAAATAAAAAATACGCTCCTAGATATCTTATTAAATGTATCTCAAATTTGAGACTGTCACAAATTTTTGCAGGTTTCATAGCAAAATGCTTTTGATTCCTTGACTTTAAGATATTAATTGATAATTGTGAGTGAGTGAAACTCAAATTTCCCTTTAGATTGGACGTGTCAGCTTTCAAAATTTTCTGTTTATTTGTAATTCTGATCAGCCTTCACTAAAACTGCATTATAGTTTAAATAGAAACTCGCTTATTTAAAATTAAAGGAGATTAGAATCTCAATAATTGAAATTTACCGCTTGCCAGAATCACTCTTGATTTGCGTATCAGTATTGAATGGCTTTTTCCTTCTTCTTTGCAGCATCCCCACCTGTAGCAGTACAGACTGAGAAAAATAGTCCCAATGGTGAGTATCCGAATCAAAAGCTTTGGTGTTTTTATTTAATTTTAAAGTTTATTCTTCGTATTAGCAGTTTTGAGTTTGTTTGTTGATTCATTTTGCCACGGTTTTCACTTATCTTCCCAGAAACTGTTAGTCCGACTGCGACCACTCCTCCTCCTCCCTGTGTGTGCCCACACGTTGCCGAAGGTGACTCGAAAAGTTCACCTTCGCCGCCGGTCGTTGTCGTAAAGCCAGATTCTCGAGGCTTTTATCAAACTTTGGTTGACGGTTAGTTTTTCTCGTACAAAAAACAAAAATTGAAAACAAACTGTCGTCGGCAGGGGTTCAGGTTTTCCATCTCAGGCGTTTCAAAAGCTTTTGCCCTATCTTTAGTTTTATTTTATTCCAAAAAAATTACCAACTCAGTCTCTCCTGTGGTGTTCAGGTGGTGTAGGTACAAATTGCTTTGCACGCTTTGTCTCATTTTCTATATCACGCTTTTTATTACATCATAATTCATCCTCCAATGAAGTTTGCATTTGCGGCCAAAAAGCAATTTCATTGGTTGATGAATCCATCACACAATTGATTCTAACAAATTATCGCACAATCTCCTCTACTAACAATAAAACATATTCCCTCCTATAACAAAGCGCTTTTAGTTGATTGGAAATTGTGCGTCCGTGTAAATATCTCTACAACTGTGGGATTTGTTGTGTAGGTGACTCGTCAGATAGATCGTCTAACGCGATAAACCCCATGCATAAATTCGACCCCCTGGACAATGAAATCGGTCGAGGGTTGGACGAAATCAACATCATTCCGAGCACTTTGGCAGAAATCAATCAACCAGGTAAGCCCACCGCAGTCCCTTCTTGTCAAAACAAGAAGATTCACTTATGTGTGTGTATTCCTGCTATCAAATTTGCTCATTTTATTTTTTACGATTAATTTTATTTCTCGAATGAATGAATGATTTTTTTGAATAATTTCATTGGTTCAAATCAACACGCTATTTTGCCAAGGCACTTCTTCTTCTTCCTCCTCCTCTCTTTTTATTTTCCTTTGTACATATTTGCTTTGCGGAATGTTTACTGGGTGTGTTTGTGTTGCGAGTGTCTTGTTTTGTCTGTGATTTCGTTATCTCTGATAAATTGTTTTTGCCGCTGGTGGTACTTTGGCTCTTGTTTGTTTCAACTTTTGGCATGAACCTCATCTTAATACTGTAGAAAAACTACTCACATTTTTTTGTATTTATGCATGATTGTGGGAATATTCATTTTTGCTTTGGGCGGTGTCGGCAGAGTGGCTAACAATTAACAAGAACACGCTAACATAAAAAAGCAATACACTCCACAAATCCACACACATTCGCAATCATTGGGCTGGTGCTTTAAACAATTCCAAACATTTCAACAAAAATCATGAGAATAAAATGACAAATATTTCACAATTTGCATGTTGATTCCTCTTCTAATAAAATACAAAAAACATTCATTCCATTTTGAGAATAAAATTAAAGCTAATTAAAATAATCAATAATAATAACGCAGGCACCACAGAAGGGACTTGGGCTTACTTAAAATTGTTAGCCTCTCAATAATAACTCCGCATTTTTTTTTTTTAAATTATTATAGAATTGCATGTTTAAGATGCGAAGTAGGCCTAGAGGATTAGACAGCTTTTGAGGTCGACTTTTTTTCTATAAAAAAAAAATGCGAATTGTTTTTGTTCTTGTTTTAGGCCCGAAGCTGCACGCCTCGCAGGAGCGGCCGCACATTTACACGGCGGACACGTTGGCCGTGGCCGTGGTGGTGGCCATCGTGGTGGCGCTGGCCATGGGCTTCACCGCCGGCTTTGCCATTTCGCGTCGATGTTGTGGCAGCGACGGCGAGTACGTATCGACCTATCGGGACCGGCCCTTTCAGGAGCACCTTAATAGGTAAGTTGCCTTTTTCAAAAATTAATTCTGCCGCCACTTTTTCTCTGATCAATATCGAATTTTAATCCTCCACTGTGTGCATTCTTCTTGATTTAATTTCTCCTCACTGATTTTTCCAATTTATCAATTTTTTATTTCATTTAAATTTAACATTTTCCACAAACCGAGATTCCATAATATTAATGATCAATATTGAAATGTAGGGAATGGATTGCTGGCGAGGATGAGAAAACAATGAAATATTTCTATCCATAGAAATGTAAATACCACACGTTTTTATATCAAAAGTTATGTGTCTCTTTCTTAAAAAAGACAGATATACTTTCCGAGAGTTGATTCTCTCTTTTATTATTTTTACTTTTTTTCCAACAAACTGTTTTGTTATCATTTTTTTCTTCACTCTGCGAAAGATTTTTTGTCTTGCTTCTTCCTCTGTTGTTTTTGGGGGTCTGTAGTGGTCTATCATCTTGTTTGCAGGTAAGCCGATTTCAAAGTCTCAGTCCTCCAATCTCTATATGGTGATGTTCCTATTTGAGCAGCTTTAAGCAGACGAGGTGATTTGACTATTCATATCAATACGCAATCAGCGTCCGTACAAAAATATACATATATCTAGCTCGTGTATACAGTGTCAATTTTTTCTACGTACAAAGTATTTTTGAAAATCGCTCGTCTCACCAGCACATCATCAAAGAAAAATGGTTCCAATCATTTTGAGAGCCTTTTGCTGCTACTTTTAACAGTTTTAACAAACAAAAGCTCAAATAATACTGCTTACAGCAAAAAAGGAAAAAGTTACTTTGATAATTCCAAAATATTTGGGACCACAGACTCTTGTACACTTCTTTGATTTCCTTCCTTCCATAGCCAGCCTATCTTTTCTTTCTTTTGAATGTTAACTCTTGGTGTTTGGGCATGTCGTGTTGCATCTGCAAAATTCTTGAAATGAAGCACACAATTTATGTTCGTATTAGATTTATTTATGTTTATTTAATTGTGTAACAAAATATTCATTTTTTAGAGAAATCAAGTCATCAGAATTTTAAGACCCTAGCAATTTTTATCGCTCTTTATTCAGTAAAATCGCTTAATTTAAGTGTTTTCTGTGTGTGGAAATTCCAAAAACTCATGAGAATTGACATATAGGGCTATTTTCATCAGTTTGGTAAAAAAAACTTCCGCTTTTGGTCAGTGGTGGCGCTGCGGTCGCACAGCGCCTTGGCAAATTCAGCAATCTCAGCGCCACCAACGACCAAAACCTCAAGCTTTTTACCAAACTGATTAAAACACCCCTGTATGTCAATTTTAAGTTGATTTTTGTTTTCTTGCAATTTTTGGAAACAAGTGTTTGGAATTATCAAATCTTGTTTCCACAAGATAGACTTAAAATTTAACCTTTTTTCTAATTAAAGAGTAATAAAAATCACTCAAGTTGGTCTTTATATTCAAATTTCAGTGAGCTGCATATATATTGAAACAGATTATTTTATATTTCTTTCAAACTGAAAATCTTCTGACGTTTTAGATTCTCTTTTAAAGGAAATAAAGTTTTTAATACTTTACTCATTTATACTGATCAGAAAGTACTGAAAATCATTTATAGTAGCTTAAATTTTCAAAATTTAACAAATTTTTGTGTCAAATTTTAAATTTGTAACTATTTTTCTTTTAAATTAAAATAAAATAGAAGATGAAGTAGCTTTGCAAATAAATGTTGCCCGTATTTCTTGATTAATCCCACGTGTCCCATATTAATTGAGGTAGGGCGACTTGATTAACGCTTTATATTGTGTAAATTAACGTGAAAGTCTATCATCTAATTTCGATGTTGCACGCCAAGCCACGCCTGCGCCCTAATCCTGCAGTGCACACGCAGCGAGATGATTTTTTTTTTGAATGGTGACGAATTTGGTGTTTCAGCTTCCCAGGTCACGACGGAACTCTGAACGACTCGGCGTACCTGCCGCCGTGCACCAACAACAAGCCCATCAACCTGGTGCTGAACGTGCCGCCCAAGAACGCCAACGGCAAGAACGCCAACTCGTCGGCCGAGAACAAGCCCGTGCAGAAAGTGAAGAAGACCTACATTTAGTGACAAATGCGACTGGCCGCGCTCGTTCGCAAGGCGCTGTGCACCAACAAGATTTCCTAAACAACAAAGTTTTTTATGAATGTGCCTGCACACACGAGAGACGAGATTATAGAACAAGCCTTTTGAGTCTACAATTCGCGTTTCCGCAGAAGTTTTATTTTCAAGGACTTTCCCACCCAGAAGAACAGTCGTCTTAGTGGCATTCCAATCGAAACACAGAGACAAAATTGCGCGGTTGGTTCTAGTTTTCTGCTGCTTGCACTAGGATTTGTAAACGAAGGCTACTTTATAAATAAGACGGGAGCAAAGAAAAAATATATTCGATTATTGTGATTACGGATGAAAAGTGTTGCATAATTAATATGAAAATGGTCAGTTCTGAGATGTGAGAGTGACTCGCCTGTAAATATATGAGAATGAAACTCGGTGCAAATGTGACGCAGGGAATTTTAGCAGCCCAAAGTTGAAATTTTTCATGTGAATGACTGACTATTGCTATATAAATATTGTAAGATTTCGACGAGATTGCTTCATGATGTATATTTTTTCTGGAATAATAGTACAATTTTGATTTTTACGTTATACCCCGAGTCCATTCGAAAGTGCACTCGGCCGCGCATCTTTTTAAATATTTTATATCATTTGTTCCAAAGTGGCGGTCGAGTGGAGATTCGCAAACGGGATTCCAGTGATGAAGCATGTTGAAGAAAAAATATGTATAAATAGGCCTATAATAATATTTCGAGTATAACAAGGTTGTCGTCAAGAGTATTATTATAGAGGCGAGTTAAAATAACGGTCAATGTCATTTTGTATAAACAAAAGTAATAATTTATCTCAGCATACACCTTCCCAACAAAGGAAAACATTCACTTTTGACAGAGAAATGCATTCAATTTTGATACGAGAAGTGCTAAACTGTGTTGTATTCATTTTGTTCCAAAGAAATAATTTTAGTATGTAAGTTTTCCAGATTCTGTTTTGTGACCTGGGCTTTTGAAATATTTCCAATTCGAAGAAAGAAAAAACACAAATAATTGTGATCTCTCACTCTCTCTTTCATTGTAAGAAAAATACTCACATCTTTTATGTCTAAAATAAAAAATTATATTTTTCTATAGCCGCAAAAGCCCAGCGCACAATTCCAGATTCGAGCTGTTGCGCCCCCTGGCGCGATCGCTTTTTTATTTTGAATGCTCATTTTTGTTTTAATTACTGGGCATCATATGTGACTTGGTTTATCGAAGATGTAAGTCGTTGAATATTACCCTACACTGTATTGTATCTTGACTTGCAGGGCGTTTACAAAATCATAATATATGCGATTGCCAAATTAAGCCTATAGTGTTTTCATTCGTGCTAGGTGTTGTCAAAATAAAATTCCTCCGTTTTTCGTAATTCTCGCAAAACATTTCGCAAATGAGATGTTTTTTATTCATTCACTGCGTATGCCTACAGAAAAAAAAACACAAACATGTTAATAAAACTATAAGGAATACAGAAAGAAACACTGTTCTATATTAAGGTGGTAATGTAAGATCTCTGCGCTCTTTTGTATTAATGTATTATAAAAATGGATTATATAATTGTGCCCTTCAAGTAAACTCCCTGTAAAATAAAATAAAGGATTTTTAAAAACAAAATCAACCCTAATAGTTATTTATTTGACTTCATTTTAAATGTTTCAATAAACACCAATAATTAATAATAAAACTTTTAAAAATATTAGATATATTCTAAAAAAAAAATATTACTATTTGCATTCAAATTAAAAGAGATCTAAAAATCAGAATAATCGTTATTTGTCATTTGAATCAGAGCCTTTTTAGTGTTGTTTCTAACTTGGAATTAGACGAAATGCAACACCCGCAACCGTCACGCTTAGAAGGTTGCCTACTTGTCAAATCCGTAGGGGTTTATAAAAGCATCTGACGGCGGCTCTAAGAACTAAAAACTAAAGCAGAAGAGACAAGACAAGCCTCAAACAAAACAAACAACTTATGGCACAAAAAGAAAGAGGACTGAGGGCCTGATCAGGGCCGAGGATTTGCAAAAATGTTCTGTCTATAAAAATAGGTAATTTTCGTTATTAATTTCAAGAAGAAAAACAAAATTAGAAAAATTAATTAAGATTTTCTTCAAGTCTTTTTTATTGAACAAAATAATAACATAATTTTAATCAAAAAGGAGATGGATTTCATGGAAGAGGGGTGAAATTTTGTCGCGGTTCCTCCGGACTGTGAGACGACTCTGGGACACTCGCGGACAATCGTGCACATCGACGCCGACTGTTTCTACGCCCAGGTGGAAATGATCGAAAACCCTTGTCTCAGGGACAAGCCTTTGGGCATCCAGCAGAAGAACATTGTCGTCACCTGCAACTACGTCGCCAGGGAACACGGAGTCACAAAATTGATGCTCCTCCAAGGTGAATATAATTTAATTTTAAATATAAAAATTATTTTCTAAAATTTTTTACAGATGCACAGAAAGCGTGCCCGAATTTGGTGCTGGTGAGCGGAGAAGATTTGTCCAAGTACCGCGCCATGTCGGACAAAGTGACCGAACTTCTGCAATCGAGATTCGCTTCTTTGGTCGAGCGGCTCGGCATGGACGAAAATTTTGTCGACGTCTCCGACCTGGTGAAAAACCACAAGGCCGAGGGGCAGGTCAAAGGTCACGTGTACTCGGAATCGAATCCAGCGGGCGAGTGCGTTTGCGGGTGTGACCAAAGGGTCAAGATCGGGTCACACATTGCCGAGGACATGCGCGCGGCGATTTTCGACGAATTGGGCCTGACGACCTGTGCGGGGGTTTCGTACAACAAAGTCCTGGCCAAGCTCGTGGGCAGCACGCACAAGCCGAACCAGCAGACGACCCTCTTCAGCGGCCAGGTCCTGACCCTCATAAACGGCCTCTCAGGTACATAAAATCAAAATTTCATACTTTCGGTGAAATTTCTAAATTTCTTTTCATTTTAGGAGTAAGGTCGATTCCTGGCATTGGTCGGCAAATGTCGAACCTTCTCAAGTCTCAGAGAATCTTGGAAATATTCGACCTGCAGTCTGCCTCCCTGAATAAGTTGGAAAAGGTTTTCAAGAACAAGGAAAGGGCGAAGCTGGTGCAGAAATTGGCCTTTGGAATCGACGACTCGCCCGTCAAGCCGAGTGGGAAACCAAAGAGTTTAGGAATCGAGGACGCCGTTCAAGGAATTAAAACTGCAGAAGAGGCGGGAACAAAAATCCGAATCCTCTCAGGCCGGTTGCTGGACCTGCTCGTAAGTCAGGAGGACAATCGACAACCTGGGACGGTCAGACTGACCCTGAGGAAGTGGAACAAACTGACGAAGGAGGCCAAGAGGGAGAGCAGGCAGGCGGCCATGCCCAATCTACTCCCCGTGCAGACCGAAAACTTCAAGAGCAGTTCTTTGGACAAAATGATGCCTTTGTTGATGAACCGATTTGCGGATATCGTGAAAGACACGAATTTCCACCTGACTCTGGTCGGGGTGGCGTTTACGAATTTCAGAGATAAGAAGTGCGGAAAGGGGTCGATCAGTTCTTTTCTGCAGCCGGCGCCCAAGAAGATCAAAACAGATGCAGAAGCGTCCACCAGTCAGGAAAAGGCTCTTCCGCCAAACGTGGACAAACAAGTTTTTGAAGCTCTTCCACCGGAAATGAAAGAGGAAATTTTGAGTGAATGGAAAAGCAGGCCAAAAGCAAGCCCTGACAAGACTAGAAAGAAAAGTTCCATTGCTGATTATTTCAATAAAAAGTGATATTATAACTAATAATTTGTACCAGTTTATTTTTACAATTATAATTTATTTGAGATGATTGTATTTTCTTGTGATCGATTCACCCACTGAGCTTGCTGAGGTGCTCGTTGAGTTTTTCCAGCGCCTTGCACTGCCGGTCGGCCATCACGTTGAAGCTGCTCTTGATTTTGGACAAAAGGGCAATCTTGGTCTCCTCGTTCTTCCTGTAAACCTGGTAGAACTGCTTGAACCACATGGGGTAGTGCAGGTCCTCCTGGGCGGGGGTCGGGTTGACCGTGCTCAGGACGGCGGTCGGCTCGGTGATGATTTTGATGGTCGGCTGCAGCGCCGAGCCTGCGGTCGTCCTGAGCGTCGGCGTGTCGTTGACGATGGTCGGCGCCGCGTAGGCGCCGCGGGGCTCGGGTTCCTGCACCAGGTCCTTGATCAGCGGGTGCATGACCTGGTAGTAGGCCCACTTGTTCTTGGACGCGTCGCTGCGGCTGCTGAACTCGACCTTGCGGTACGAGTTCTTCAGGCTTTTCCACTTGCAGCAGCAATTTTCACTGCTGAATGTCGTCCCGAATTGCTCGTTCAGGGTCTCGGCGATCGTTTGCCACACCGGAGACTTGTTCGAGTCCGGCTTCTCGATTTCCTCTTGGTTTTCCTTGTATAAATTTATGATGGCCTCGGTCACTTCCTTCGTCCACACCACCTTGGCTGAAATTTTTAACAAAAATCAGTTTTTCGGAAAAATATTAATATATAATTTTACTATTCGCGGGCAAAGAAAATCTACTTCTCAAGACTGCTTGCGTTGCAAAAGTCAATAATGTTGGCGATAGAAAACAAACCGAGGCGCGTTTTTTCGTCTTACTTTACCTTCCGTTCGAATCTTCACCTTCTTCACTTCTGGAGACGCGTACGGGAAGCAGCTCTCGTCAGGCAATATGACTATGACATTTTCAGGTGACGCCGACCTTTGTCTCTTCATGTTATTCAAAGAATTCGGCGAGGTTAAGCTGGTCGACGAGTTGCTCGCCATCTCCAATTTTTACTTTTCGAAAGGCTCTGATGTGCGTTTTCAAGACACGCCCACTTTTCAAATGATATTGCCGCGAAACGAACTAAACTGAAGAAGAAACCTGCCAATTTTTATAGCCTCACGAGCGTGTTGATCAAGAGAAGTTCTGAGACCTGAGGTTATAAAAATTACAAAGAATAGCTCGACTCTACTTTATTTAAGATTTGGAAATTGCATGTAAAGATTTATTATTTTTCCCGTTTATATGGCTCTAGTTCGGCGAGTAGTTTGAATTTAGAATCTTTCGTTTCCAATTTGGACTCAACAATGTTTTACTAGGTTCTCTCAATAATTTCATTGTTGAGATTTGTTGCGAGAAAATAATCTAATTGAATTATCATTATCTTTAAAATTTGAAACAAATATGAGGACACGATTTTTTTCAACACTCGCCGTTAATAACTTAATATCAGCATAACACATCCTTAATAATTAGTAAAGAATTACTTGGAAAACCGAGTTTGTGTAATATATTTAAAAATTATCAGCATGTTTTTCACACAGTTAAAATTATTTTTAATCACACTCCTTCCGATTAATCAAGATAAATATTATTGCATTACATATTATAAGTTAGTCTAGGTTTGCTTAAATAATTTTCATTCAATTGTTTTCTTATCAAATATGTGCATATATTTACAAACAAATGTACATCCTCGGTGTTTTTATCATTAAATCCACAGGACCGCTCAGTATCTACAATTTGACGTTATTGGCTTTTAAAAAACTTCTCAAGGGTAAAACTTCTTATGTTACGGTTGCCGAAATAATCTGCTTGTAGGTTTCACGATTGGCTCGCTATTGAAACGATCTTTTTCTTTTAGATAAAATGCAATATGGTTTCATCACAAGACTGGACACGATGGGTTCTGCACTTGCTTGCACACTGTCTAATCACTTTCCACCACCGTTGCCTTTTTGCGTTTCTTCGCCTGCTTTGGTTTGATTATTTCCTCCTCCTTTATGTAAAAAAAACAAACACATTAGAAGCAAATTAAAACTAAAACTTAAAAATCAACAAACCTCGCTGGAGTCTTCAGAGGACTCGGAGGGAATGGGAATCGGCCGCGTCCTGGACTGGCTTTTGGCGGTCGACGCAGCTTTTCTGGTCCCTCGGCCGCCAGTGCCGGATCCTCGGGGCGACAATTCCTCGGCCAATGCCAGCAGATCGGTGAATTTCTTCTTTTGAGTTTCGGTGCAGGTGGCCAGGACCTGCTGCAGCGCCCTCTGCATGCTGTCCAGGAGGAAGAACTTGGGGTTGTGTTTGCTGACGATGCGCAGCTGGTCCAAGTGGGCCAGGATCTGCTCCATCGACGGCGGTCCGGGGCCTTTGTTGCCGGCGCCTCTTTTTCTCTTGTTGGGCGACGACGAGGACAGTTTGTTCAAGAGGCCGGCCACCATGTCGGCGACCTTGTCCTCGTAGTCTTGTATCCAATATTGCATTATGGAGACGACAAAAAAGTCTGTTGATTTCGCCGTCCTGATCAGAATGTTCTTCAGGAGATCCACGGACGGTCTCTCCTGCTTCAGGAACAGCATCACACTCGAAAGCGCCTCGGCGTGCTTCAGGAAATCCAGTTCGGGGAGGATGGGCATCAAGTCGTCGACTGGTATGTTGTGCGCCTCGATCAGGTGCCAGAAGCAGCACTGCTCGAAAGTTTCCCAGTTGAGCGACTCTTTCAACACATTGACAAGCGTATCTGTATTAAATATCACAAGTTTGCTCTGCGAAATCAAAATAAAATCAGATTATTGAGAAAAGAAATCGATATTGACTAGATTACCTGCAACACTAGGCAAATAAGGAGTTGCATTTGATTAGCATCGACTACTTCTAACAGCAAATGAAGAAGTTCGGTGTTGTTTTGTGTGGCGGAAGGAAACAACTGGTAGACCTCAGGTACAAGCCACACAAACAAGGTTCGGTCATCCTCTTGACAAAGCTGCGGAATAATTTTTTTTTTTAAATTTAATTCAAACCTACAGACAAGATAATTACTTTCATATCGGCCAGGAGAATGTTGACAAGATCCTTTTCCATCGCTTTGCAATACTGCTCGTACAATACAGACACAGAAGACACAGTTTTCAAGCCGTCCAGATTGCTGTTAGGAAATTATTTTAACAAATTATTCAAATTTAGAATATATTTGGTTTCATTTCATCCTACCTGGCTTTTAAAAAGTAGAGCAGAAAGTATCCGACTTTGGGTTCCTTTTCACTCATTTCCACCAGCACTTGGACGAGAGGGCGTGGATTTTGATTTCCGTCCTGCATTTGTGCAAAATTCCGAAACATAACAAACAAAGGCTTTTCGATGCTTTCCTCAATGTTCCTGTAATTGAATTTTTTTATAAATAAATATTAAAAGAAACAAAAAATGAATTTTAATTACTCGTCCAACGGGTCACTGGGCAAAAGCTTGTTTTCGAATTGATCCCTGAGGACTGAACACAGACAGGTAGCTAACAAGGGTGCTGTTTCTTCATCAGCATTATCGTCGATGATTAGTTGCACAAGCCTCTCCATTGCTTCACATCTGTAGGCAGAATTAAATATAAAACAAGCTTGATTATAAAAAAAAATTCACTCACTGAGTTTCATTATCATTCGATTTAAGGTTCTCAAGTTCGGTCCGCATGTCGTCCTCCAACGCGGCCATGGCATCTTCAATGTTATCCTTTTTATCCTCACTTTTCTTCAGCTTTACTTTTGTGGCTAAATTTTTTAAAATTGTCAATGAATATTAAACGTTTTTGATTTGAATTGAGCAAAAATACCCAGAGGAACATCTTCTTCGTCTTCGTCACTAAATGCAGGTTCGTCGTGATTGTTGCTGGGGCTGATTGGAACCGGCGAGCAGTCCATAAGTACTGGGTGGGAAGGATGTGGAAAGTCTTCGTGTTTAACATTGCCTGCATTTTAACAATCAAATTAAGGAATTTTTCTCTCGCAAGATGATTTACCGTCTGCACCGATGGGCGCACAGAATTCTTTAAACTTTTCTCTCACTGACACTCTCAACTCTCGGTCTAATTTCGGGTTGTCAAAGATCGGATTTAAATTAGGCAGCACTCTTTTATCCAGTATTGTTTTTAAAGATGCAAATATTCCAGCTTGGACCTTTTCCGACAGGGCTGGATAGAAGTTTGGAATGATCTGGAACCAATTTGAAATTAGTTGAAACATTTGGTGGGAGTAAAATTGTATCCACCTTGACTAAGAAATCCAACAGAGTTGCCGTTACGGCAGGGTGGGAGCGCATCGAGTGGAACATGACGAGGATGGCCGGCTCTATGTTCATGATGTTATCCTTTTCGGGCTCGAAAAAGAGCCAGTCGTAGAAAAGCGCCAATTTTGCATTGGCGGCGGCCACGGTTGATGTGCAAGTGGTCAGGAGCCAGCCTATGACAGCCCATCGAGGAATGATGTCCGAGCAGAGCAGTTCGTTCGTCGGGTGAATCACACCGACGATGAACCTTATCAGATCACAGCGCAGGGACTGCGACTCGGGCGTGTTCAAATACTGAAATTCAAATTAAAATTGAATCAGATTAGAAAATAATAGGCAAAAACAATTGGACACTTTCACAAGTACCTACAAAACCCTGGGAGAAATTTGTTTTAATAAAACTAGTCATTTTGAGTTTTATGAATGTTTGAGTCCCTTTAAAAATGATTTGATTTGCCAAAAATTTCAGTTGTTTTTTGTGGGACATTTTGACAAATTTATTAAGTTAATAAAAGTGGAACAGCAAAAATACTTAAGTAATAAAAATGTCACCCCTTCACTCATTTCTTCATGCCAAACAACTTTTCTATTGACAAAAAAGCTGCAGGTCAAAAGTCAAGGCCATTTTTGAGCGATTTAAATTTTTTTGTAAATAAGTCCAAGTCCAAATTCTAAATAAATCATAAATCGCTTGAAAGTGACTTAGACCTTTAACTTACAGTTCTGGATTCAATAGAAAAGTTGTTCAGCATGAAAAATTAAGTCACGAGAAGGAACTTGAATAACTCTAGCAGAATTTTATTTATTTTAAAGGGCAATCATGGAAATGCCCAACCGGAATATAATTTGTACCTGTCTTTGGAACCAATCTTGATATCTCTTGTGATTCCCGAAGCGTACGTTCGAAGTAAGAAAAACAATTTTCTTCTCCATGTCTGGAGTTAGCCTAGACTGCAAGAACCGTCTCGACGTCCTTGTCTGCATCAATTGCTGAACGCCTGTAAATGAATTATAGAATAATAATTTATTCAGAAAAAATCGATCCAAACCTGTGAAATTGGGGCTCAAGACTTTAGGATTGTGGTAAACATCCTTCCACAAGCTCTCGAACTCGGGGATGCGAGCCACATTTTGAAGTAAGCGTACTAGGTCCCTTCCTATCACTAAGCAGTCATTGAACTTCTCTCTCAGAAGTGACACGGTGAACGTAACTTCCTTTTGTCGCAGCGGGGCTAAAGCTTGAGTGTGATTGCCACCATGGTCATCGATCAGCCTTAAATACGTGTAAACAACAGACGCGACGAGAAAGCTGTTTTTGTCCAGCCATGCCCTGAAATTGGCAAATGCGATTAGAAACTGTATTTTAATAAAATTTGATCAATTATACCTGTATTCCATAAAAACGTCAAGCATGTATTCAGCAACAGCCAGATTGCGGGGCGAAACGTCTCCGCCGGAAATATTCCGAAGGACGTTCCAGCACAAAATGTCCACACCGTTCACAGAGTTCCTGATCAATTCCCTGGTGAACCACAGAAGCTGATGCCACACAACTTCACTCAACTTGGAGAACCTCTCGACCGCGATCTGCGTCAGATTCTGCACGACCGTGTTCATGCCATCTCTGGCTATCAAAGTCAAGTCTCGGTAGCTCTGGAATTGTAAAAAGGATGATTGTGTTTACAAATCGCAACAGTTTGAGATTTATTTTTATACCTTGGCGGCACTCTGGGGGTCAAGAAGGACGGCCACCATTAGGCCTATGCAAATCTCGTCGTGACATCTCGGGTCCTTGCTGATGGTGCTGTTCAACACGTCGTTGCTCTCCTTTTCTGACAGGCCCGAGGTCAACTTTTGCAAAAGTTGGAAACACCGGTCGAACCGCTGTGAAGGGGTCAAGATTGATATTATGAGAATCGAGGCACGTGTGGCCGAATTGCGGGCCAAAGTGTGGGCCCGTATTGGGACGGGATTCAAAGGTGGCGCCAAAAGAGCACGTTCGAGCTCTGGTGGTGAACTCTGAAGCGCCTCCGGAGCCGTCCATTATGGCCGACATAACAATGAGCGGACTTTAATTACAGATTTTGGGCAAATACCTCCTCTAAATCGTCCTTGGCATCGACGGCGCACGAAACAAAGAGTCTCGAACTACTCGGATTGACCGCTTCCATGCCTCAAAAGTTCCTATATCACCACAAATTCACGCATCAAACAGCGCTGGCTACGACATCGTGCTGCTGTGCTTTCGCTCGAAATGCTTTCCGACTCGCGCGGAGGGATACACTGCACAACGACAAAAAAGTTCCGCGGAGCAAATTGTTTTCGCAGCCTGTAAGCACGAATTTGAACGACTTGTGCTTGCATTAAAGACGGTTCTAACAAAATTTAAGGCTGCATTTCAAATGAATTTTACTCAATTTATGCTTTTCTGCATTGCTCCTGGCTAAAAAGGTCAGGGGCACTGAGATTTAATGAGGAAAATTTGGATCTATTTAACATCACTCAAGTCAGTGAACGAGCGACTCGGGAGTTTAAAAATAAAAAATGACAGGAAAAAACACGTTTCAATTACTGAAGTTTTAAAGTAGTTTCCAATAAATTGAACACTATTTTTAAAAAATTATATGAGTGCTGATGGATTCAATATTTTAAATATTAATGCTAGTTAAAAAAATTATAAATAAATATTTCAAATTTTAATTTAATATATCTTTAATTTTTGGATCAATTAAATTATGACATGTCTGAAAAATAAGACGTATGTGTATAGAGGAAAATTACACAATAAGGATAATAACAAGACAGAACAAAAAGCAGACTTGCAACTGAAAGAGTGGGGATGGAGGAGAAGCGAAACCAGAAACATTCACCCTCCATCGGCATGACCAGCTTTAGCTTTCTGCTCAGACATGTATTAAAACGTGCATGCTATTTCATAATGATGAATTATAGAAACTTGATTTTCATGATTTTTGTATTTAAACTTGTTAAATATCACAAATGCATTTTTTAAATAAGTAAATCAAATCTAAACATTAATTTTTCATATTCCTCGAACCAGCATGGATCGTCGTTTTAATTAATATTACTTATTTAATGATCTTGACACATTTGAATAACTTAGGGTTCTCCATGAAAATTGACTAACTTGATTTTCATTTTTTCCCAACAACATTAACACAGTTTGAAAGAATTATTCCTGTAAAATCACAGTCTTTTGGCCCCTCCGCACATAAATTAGTGTCTTTAATTCACATTCCACCCATAGGGTTGGCGCTGATTTGCATACGGCCTGAAACCGTACGTGGGCTGCTGACGCCGGAAACCAAAGTTTCCAAAGCCGCCGAAATTGTTGTTGAAAAAGCCACCTTGTCCTGCCGCTGCACCCTGATTAGCTTGCTGGTAGTAGTTGTTTGCATTGAAGCCATCACCTGTTTCAAATCAAGTCTTATTAATGCAAATTTATAGTTCGATTGGCCTACCTGTCACTCCTTCAATCACCTTCTTCAAGAATTTGCCGATTCTGGTTTTGACAAAGGTTAAACCTGCAAGAATTCCAGCAAGGTGGCCCATGAATGACGATCCGGGAACGAGCAAGTAAATCAAAATGAGCTCCGACCAGACTGCGTATTTCATTCCCGCCTCCTGATGTTCCGAAGTCAAAACTTTCAGAGCAAAAATGACACCTGAATAAAATTATTGAAAATTAAATTGTTAAATTTTATTCTTAATTTAATCATATATACCTGAAAATCCGACGGCACAGACTTTCATGTAATACGGATCGTTGGTGAAATGGGTGAGGGCCCAGCCCATGCCGACGTAGTAGCAACTGGTGAGGACGGTCAGCACGGCCAAGGTGAGAAAGAAGTTCTTGGAGCCCATTCGTCGCTCCAAAGAGCGTCCTTTGATGAGGAAGGACAGCATGTTGTAGTAAAGATGCATGTCGTCGCCGTGCTCGACGGCCGACAGGAACAGCCTCCGGTACTCTTTGCCTTTGATGATGTCTCGGGCGTTCAAGCAGACGTCCCACTTGTCCCACGGGACGTTGACGAATCCGGCGTAAAGCGCGAGCTGCCGAGATTTAAATTCATATCAACGAAAATTCTGTAAATAAAGTTGATTTTGTACCTGTCCTAGGATGGAAAGCAGCGTGACTGGCGGAATGTTGGTCACGCCGACGTTGAACAGCTCCATGATGAGCAGAATAACGCCGTACTCGAGGCCTCGGTTCCTCCTTTGGGGCTGCATGACGAAAAGAAGTTTCGGATTTTGATGGAAACGCTCAACTCTTGGCGTCAAATGAAAGCTCAAAAGGCTTCTCCTGGAATGAAAGAATCGGAAAAGCTCTCCGGTGCGTTGGTCTCATTGCGAATTAATCATTAACGAGGAGTTCGCTGTGGCCAAATCACAAGTTCGTCGATTTGAGGCGGCCATGAAGGCATGAAGAGAAATGTTTACGATTTGGAGGCACGTGATTGAGGCCCGGGAAGCCAGGTTCAGAGCTTCTGAGGTTCAGAGATCGTAACAACAACCGGTTATCGGCCGATCGTCAATTGTTTTTTTTTTAACAAAAGCAAAAGTACCGCAGGCCGCAGGCAGTAGAGCCCGCTGTCCGCTAGGCTGCAAGGATTAGATCGCTCGATCGCGTATATCATTAATATCATATTATATCATTCAATATATCAATAGATGATTCATATTGTCAAATTATTTAATTATCGACCTTTTAAAAGGGGCAATTGCCCCATTTTGGCCTTTTTGCGACTGCATTCTTTTCAAAAAGCATTATTAATTACGATTAATTATTCTCATAATTTAGTATTTAGTAATTTAAATTTTTCAAAATTCAAACATGAAAAAAAGCCCATTGCAATTGCGGAAAGCACAATGCAATCTTAATCTGAAATCATTTTTTTAATCCAATTAATCCTATAGCTCTGCACTCTGCGCGGTCGTTAAATTGCATAGTTGAAGCGAAAATCTTTATTCCCAAACTTTTATCAATATAAAGATTAAAGAAGCTAAAAATAGTAAAATAATTATTTATTTATGGGTGCCCGGTGCATCGTGGTTGGGTCAACTCGCGATCCGCGATGATAACACGCATAAGTTCAAGAAGCTAATTGTAAAAAAAATTCATAAATCTCAACTATATTTATTTTCCAATTTTAACTAATTTTAACAGCTTTTATCAATAATTATTTGTTAAAATTAAAATTATATATATTTTATTCTCATATTTATTTCAAATAAAGTTTGGAAAATTTAAACACGTTATAATTATTATAAATTCCTTATATTTACACTCACTTTTTTAATTATTTAAATATTTTTGTCACGATCGACCGCGACACAAGACGAGTGGCGAGAATCATACTTGTTTATCAGAGGATGGCCGCGGCCTCACTAACTAAACAGATCGGTCGCTTGCTGCTGCCTGCTTTGGAGATTTTTGTGGGGGTGGAAGAAGAGAAGGAAGCATGTCAGGTATAGGCAATCGTCAATAACAATAGAGAACACAAAAAACAGGTGATCCAAGGAGACTTAAAAATGTTGAAAATCTCACAAAGCGTATATACAAATAGCATGAGAATGCGCTCCTAACTTATTCTCCTAAATTATTTATTAATTTTACAAAATATAATTATGTGGGTGCACAATTTTTGATACGGCCAATATTAGGTTTGTTGAAATCAGCATTAAAATTGTCAAATTTTGATGAAAGTTAATTTGAAATTAAAAACCAGAGGTCAAGAGGGCAGCGGGTGACCTAGGGCACTTAGAGCTTTAACAATACCTTCTTGCTCTGGAGCTTAAAATTTTGAATCAACCATCGTTAGAATTATGCGATTCGGACCAGTGGGAGCAAAGTATTTGCGCTCGGCAGTTTAGTATGAACATCACATTTTTAAGAAGGTTGAATTAAATTTAAATTATTCTATTAACGCCATTGACAAGAACGCTTCAAGTGTTTTGAGCCAAGTCTTTAAGCAACTAATCATAATTTATTTGTGTTTTTTACTTGAAATCTATGTGCTGCAGTCAAAGTTGAAGTGGAAAAAACACTGTAATAATTTTGAATAGCTGTTTCAGAATCTGAATTCTCACAATAAAAAAACAATAGATGTATTTGAGCTTAGTTGTGAATTTTCTCAATTTTTACTTCATTAGCAGGCGAGATAATTAATAAAAACTCCGCGACCCGCCCCAAAAATTTTTGGACTAAAAAGCCGCGGTCGTCTCACACAAGAGAGACATCGGCGTTATTGCGCTGTTCAAGTTTCTGTAAAAACGAAAACTCAAAAAATCGTAACTTTGGTCCTATTGATCCGAATAATTAAATTTTTGAAATATATAAAAGATTTTTCAATCTCAAAAAATTGGTATCAACATTTGATTAAATATAAAAGATAACAAGGAAGCTATTAGGCAAATATCTCTTTTATGAATACATAGCTTGTAAAATTTAAAAAAAAAAAATATGTATAAATTTGTTCAGAACAGTGGACAAAATTTGAGACTTAAACAAGTAAAAGAAGGAATCAATAAGGCTCTTTTAAATAATCATCTGTGCTAAATATGACCGTAATCCAAATATTAAAAAAAAATTATAATTATAAAAATATCAACTCAATAAAATTATAAAAATTTTACCTTCCGCGTTTGTGTTAAACCAAAACATTTTTATACTTTGATCTCATACAATACACCACAGCCTAATTAAAATGAATGCCCGTAATATTCTTATTTTATTTGGGTTTAATTCACTTATTTTATTTTGACCATGTTCGTAAAAATATTCTGCTGATAATTATATAATATTATTTCTAAATTTAAATTTAAGAAGGTGATGAAATATGACATATATTTTTTAATTTTATTAAATATGCATGCATAAAAATACTAGTTCCTGAGACGCGGAAAAGGTAGTACGCAGTGAACTATAAATTCCAGCTCGGGTGTCATTCGCGTGTGCTTTTGGATTCAAATTATAAAAATACGTCGCGCCACCCCGCTCCACAAACAACCGGTTACCGATATCCCCGCCCCCTGCCGGTATAACCGTTTGAACCTGTGAACCTGGCTTCACGCTCGCACGTGATTGGCCTACGTCATCAGAGGGCGACCAATCAGAGCGAGGCGAATGTTCAGGGCAAGGCGCATGACCTAAAAACGGCGGGAGTTGCACAGAATCTACTCCAGATGGTGTATGAGGTCATAATAAAATAAAATACTAAACTATTGGTTTGGTTTAATGAAAGTTTATTTAGTTCGAAAACTAATACAATTACATACATTTTATAGAAAATTCAAATCACGTGTAAGAATAACTATAAAAACATACATTATTATTCATCACTAATATTGCACATCATTTTTTTCCATCTATTGTCAATTATTTTTAGCAAGATGTATTTTGCATTTTTTCTTAAAAGAACAAGTTTCATGAATATTTTTTAGCTCATCAGGTAAATCATTGTACAGTTGAAAACCGCTCCGCATGATGGATTTTTCGCTGATTTTGCTCTTAACTGCAGGGATGTATAGATTTACATTTTTCCTGGTATTATGTTCATGGATACCTTTTACATACTGAATTTCATTAGACAAATAATCTGGCACCTCACCATTGATCATTTTCTTAATAATCACCAAAATGTTTAACTCTAATTTTTGTTTGATGTTCAGCCAATCAAGTCTTTTCAAGAGTTCACTTCTTGGAGTAGATTTTCTGGCGTTCAAGATAACTCGCATGGCTTGATTTTGCAAGACTTGTAGTTTTGCAAGTTGTTGTTCACTCGCGCTCCACATAACACTCGCACAATAATCAAAGTGAGGTGCAACAATGCTGTTGTATATTAGAGTTTTTGTTCTCTTTGACAGTGATTTCCCTTTTCTGCCTAGAAAATTTATTTTCGTCCCAGCTTTCGAGAGCACGTAAGAGATGTGTTCATCAAATTTGAGATTTTCGTCTATGATCACACCTAAGTATTTTATTTTTTCTACAAGTTCCAATTTGTCTCCGTCAATTTTAATAGGATTATTGCACACTTCATTTTTAAGTTTCGTTGATTTATTTTTTGATTTTGATATTATCATACACTTTGACTTAGACACATTTAATTTGACTTTACTTTCCTTAAGCCAAATATACAGAATTTCTAAGTTGTTATTTAGTATCTCTGCAGCAGCTGCATATGTATTTGCAGTTGCTGAGATCAGAGTGTCATCTGCGAAGATTTTAATAACCACGTCTTTTTGCATGTGCAGGGGAAGATCATTGATATACAGTATAAATAATAGTGGACCCAGCACTGAGCCTTGAGGTACACCAATATTTACATCAGCATCAACTGATTTTTCTCTGTTTACATAAGTAAATTGTTTCCTATCACAAAGAAAACTTTTCAAGAGGCTGAGACTGCTCTCTGAAAAGCCATATTTTTTTAGTTTACAAATTAAACGCTCTCTGTCTATTGTTTCGAACGCTCTTTTAAAGTCTAAGAAGGCCACAATCGAGACTTTTCCTTCGTCTGCATGTTTCCGCCAACCTGAGAGAACAGCCTGCGCGGCCGTCTCGCACGAGTGACTCTGCCTAAAGCCAGATTGGAGCTCATACAGAATTTTATTATCTTCAACATACTTCGATATTTGATTGTGCAGCACAATTTCCAAAATCTTTTCACATAAGGGAAGAATGTTAATTGGCCTAAAGTCCTGGGGTTCCTTTGGTATTTTCACCTTAGCAATAGGAACAACCATCGACTTTTTCCAACACGATGGGAAACTTCCCTCCCTTATGCACGTATTAATTACATCCAGAAGTTTGAATTTTAGGTCCTGGAAGCAATTAATTATGACTTTTTCATTGATATTATCTGGCACAGTTTTTGATTTGAGACCTTTTACAATTTTTCTTAAAACGTTCATTTCAATTTCTTGAAAATTAAAATTTGACTCGTATTGAGGAATGTCTTTTAACTTCACTTTTTCACTTTCGCTCGCATCAGGAATGGACTCAACAATTTCTTTTACACTATTGACAAAAAAGGAATTGAAGTTGTTTTCCAGTTTCATATCATTATTAAATATTGACTTATCAACATCTTTCTGTGACTTGTCTATATTAATTATTGATTTGAGCGTTTTCCACATTAATTTTGGATCACTTTTCACATCGTCAATTTTTTCCTCGTAATATTTTCGTTTAGTTATCTCGCGATTACTCGTGTGAGCATTTATTGCGTAAAACGAAGCAAAATTTTTATTTAATTTGAACTATCAATCCATAATTTTACACAATAAGACAAAAAAATTGGTTTGTTTTCAATTTTTAACGTTCTCTTTCTTATTTTAATCAAACCATAATAATTATATTGGGCGCTATTCTCTTGACTTAGCTCTCCCGGTCTAAAAGTTATCCCGGGATATATCCAAAGGGATAAATTTTAACCCCCTGACCTGGAC